GATTGACAGAGGAAAAGAAAAATACAACTGCTTCTATATCCTTTCTAATGTTTATTGCCACCATCTAGAAATTTGGTGGGAACGTCTTCAGCACTTCTCTGGATTGTACTTTCGGTCAGAATTGACAAAGCCCTCTCTTTCTGGCTCTCTGCCAAGCTGAAGAATTGCAATTTGGTGATTTTTCAGCCACCCTTTGGCCCCAAATTCTATTCATTTTCGCACACACCCAGAAATCTCCTCTCCCTTCAGCGTTCTGCACCACGTTGAATTTATGGTTAAACAATCGGACTCACAGCTAAAATTAACCCTTTTTCACCCCCTCATCTTACCATTAATCAAAATTTAATGAAAGCTCGCAGAGTTTAAGTGAACTTTCACTTCTCGCACTGTATCTTTTATCCCTCGAGGGGGCATTTGAATCCCCATTCACTCCGTCTCAGAAATGTTCTGGAGGAATTTCTTTTGTTGTTCTTCCACTTCGACTCGGCCTCCCCACTTTTGCCTTAATGGTCTCATTACCCAACTTTTACTTGTTTGCACAAATGACCCTGAAACACACTCCAATGACCCCTAACCTCTCGAATGACTTAATCAAACTTTCTTTCTGCCATCAGCATGGCAATCTTCACTGCCCGACAGGCTTTAATGCTCTTTAATGTCTCACTTTTCTGGCCACATTGGCTGCTGCTGCTGAGGAGAGTTTGTCACATTTTGGGCATTCCTTCTGCTCTCTACTTTGCCTACGAATTGACATTGATTTTATCTCTTCAGAAACCTCCTCACCATATCTATGACGAGGGGATATTTTCCCTATAGGAGAATATATATATGAAGGAAATTCCTCAGTCCAGAGTCGACATGAATTTTAAAATATCTTCTCATCTTCTCAAGATATTGGAGGCAGAAAGTGCCTCTGTGAGAAAAGACGAGACAATTTAATTCTCAAGACAATTTCATTCCCTCCCACCTCTTGTGGGGGAGGGAGTGGAAGAAAAAATTAGTAAAATCCCCAATAAAACCACCCCCGGAAATGCGGAAATTCTTTCCTTTTTTCCCCCGTCAAACGGAGAAATGTATCTTATTTTTTTTTCGCAGCGAAATAAGCAGAATTTTCACATGTGAATTCACAATGTCAAAAACTCCCAGTCGACATTTCTCAAATGATTCGAATTTCATCATCTTCGCGCGCGCGATGGAGATGAAATATTTCACAAGAATAACATTGTTGGGAGAGCTTTTGCCCATGCATACGTACATAATACAGCATGTATATGTATTTATAGTCAATATTCAAACGAGTGGGGAAACGAGAAGAGCTCAAAGAGATTTATAAGGGAGTTTATTACATTTTTCCATCCACTTTTTCCTCCCCAACAAGCTGTGAGACGTGCCTTTTGACGGGGAAAATCAATTATTATTATGGGCTGTATTTATTCATTAAGCGACACAGAGTTTGGGGACAGTTTTGAACTTTTATGGAAATTTTTTAACGAACCGCATGACAAGTTTCCCGGGGAAATATATTTATTAATACCGACAGGTAAATGTACTTTTTTTCGCATGAAATTGATATTAAACAGAAATGTTCGTGAATATTAATGGGGGGAAAAAAAACTTGATTTTGTGCCAACTGAAGTGATGTTTGATATTAGCAGCATTTTTTCACATTTAATGTTAATAAATTGAAACAAATATGATATATTCGTCACTTCATCTCTTATGTAGAGCATCTTGTGCAAAATACATATCATGACACATTGAAATTGAATTGAGAGATTCGATGGGAAGACGTGATCCAAATACATATTTTCAACAAACTTCCGCGTCTTTCGATTTTTCAATCTAACGTTGAAACCAGAGGGAAAAATATAGTCGCGGATTCTGCAAAAATGGTCACACTTTGTTCATGCCAAATCATGTGCGATATCTTCTTTGAATGCTTTCATTCTTCTCTCCCCAAGGGGTAGATAATTTGCGAAGAATCTCTAACACATCGCAGGACTTCAGACTTCATGGTTTGTGTACAAAAACAAGACTAAAATCTACGAATGACCGGAATTTAACTAGAAACTGACTGAAATCTAACCGAAAACTAATTCAAATCTAACTGACAACTCTAAATCTCACATTTTTCGTATCTTTCTTGATCATATTCCTTTAATTTTTTTTCTTTTTAATCATTTTTAACTCAAAATTGCAACAATTTATTGAAACATTGAGGTTATATTTCATTTTAGCGTTTTTTCTCCTAAAATCACTATTTTCATTGAATAAAAATACTCAAATCTATCAATAAAGTGAAAATACTTTCAATTTAGATGCAAGAATTTCTTCTTTAAAATGTTATTTAGTCTTAAATCAGTCACATAACCTAGAAAAATATGTCAAAATTAAAATTTAGATAAAAATTCATTTCTGAGAACAGAATAGTGACCAAAAAATTAAAACTGTGAGGCAAATATTATATCAATTAAAGCACTTCCACTTCCTTAACCTTCTATTCATCTGTACACTACTTCTGACCATATTATCTCCCCCTTGTTCTTCACAACGCTTTTTCGCTCTTGTGGCGCACAAAACTGCTTCCAACACTTTCCAACCATCGTTGAGTTAATCGAGATTAGAACTAACGTTCTTCCTTATTTCAACTTTTTCGATTTTTGAAGAGAAACTTTCTCGTCTGAGGAATCTTTTTCCACCAAGCACAGCGTGGAGAGAAAAGCGAGATATTCCTCAAAACTTTGACTATCTTTTCATATTTATGGCGCTTGTCGGGGCGAAAGTTTGTTTTCTGCCAAAGAATTGGCGAATTGGAGATTCGCATCATTGTCACTCATTGAGGGTGAATTTGCTGGCAAGAGGAAAAACGGGAAAATTTCATTCTATGGCCACTAAATCATTCATTCTCCACTGATATTCATACGCAAATGTTTTCATGAATTATTCTATTGCTTTGTCGCAGCTGAAAAAAAAGACAAAAAAAAGGCTCGGGGGAAATGTAAATTAACAGGATATGAAGTTATACTTTTGTTGAGTCAGAATTTATAACCCAGGATTGGATGCGTGTTGGGGAAAAAATCAGGAGAAAAGTCCTAAATTCCATTTCAACCGTTGGCTAGAGTATTTACGCCTGAGGTCACATTTTAATCCACACCACATTTTTGCAAATTAAATCCTCACACTTTCGCCCATTTCGGAGTCTCATCTAAATAATTATGGAAAAATATTTGCCAAGCCGTGTTTGGGGGGTGATAAAATCACAACTTTCGGGCCGCCAAAGAAGGGCGAATTGGGGAAAAATTAAATTCTCGTGAATGGAATGAAAAATTTGAATGATTTTTCAATCAAACTTTCTCCTTCTACACTAGCAATTTCACATTTGCACAAAAAAAAAAGTGCAGTGGAAAAACATTGCAGGACATTTTTTTTAGTCCGTCAGGAGCTTCATCAATATTCACGCGCGCTGTTTCAACTGGAAAATTGCCAAACCAATTGACTGCGTTGTGATTTTCCAGCAATTTGCATCTCAAAAGACATCCAGCAGTGAAACAATACATGAAAATCTCTCCCAGTGAATTGAAAGCTCTTCACATCAGGAAAAAGCTCTCAGCATGTGGACTTTTTAACAGCCACACCCTTTCGCGCGTCTCTCAAGCTCCGGCTTTTCCACACGCTAATTGCGAGAAAATGCGAAATATCGTTAGTCGAATGGGTGAAATTATTGCAAAGCGGTGGCAAAAATCTGGCAATCAATGGAGCAATGAGGCAGAAGGCATATTCCCTCTCTTGCCTAATGAATAGAGAGTCTCTCGCATGGCAGGAAGTTTGCGACAAACAAGCAGTACATCAGCATGTTAGGTGTGTGTGTGTTGTTTACAATTGAGTCTCCTAAATTAGATTTTAAAGTGCCATTCGACGTTTATAGGACGAAGTTAATTAAATGCCATTTCGCCCACACACTCTGAGCCTCGTGTGTGTGTGCCATCATCCTTATCAACCACGGGCTGCTGGAGTGTCTCTCGCGCTGATAATTTCCCGCCCACAAACTTTGATCCTTCTCAGAGCGTCGCGTGGAAGGAGATACTTATTTGCCGGCTATAAATCTCACGTGTGCCTTATATGGTTCTCAGACTGCCAAACCGGCATCAGCAATATTTTCCCAGAGGTGTAACAGTGGTCGCAGTTTAAACTGCTTCACTCTCATTATCTCACCGAAATCAAACTGAAATTTCACTGATAACTAACTGAAATTTAACAAAAAAAACTAACCGAAATATATCATAAATTTAACCGAAATCTAACTAAAATCCAAAATCTAACCGATATTTAAACAATATCTAACTAAAAACTAACCGAAATCTAACTACAATCTAACTGAAAGTTTTATAACTCTGATTTTCAGATTTTTCAATGTAAGAAGACATAGATAGTCTTCTTTTGATCATTTTAATTGAACTGTTGATAGTAAATTTTTATTCTTAAATACAATTTTTCTGACTCAGATCTCAGAATCTCAAATTAGAATGAGAAAAAATGCTCAACTGTACCAATAAATGGGAAATAATTTCACTTTCAGTATGCAAGAATTTCTATTTTAAACCCTTTTTCGTTTCTAACAAATCACAGAATTTTGAATAATATGTGAAAATTAAGAATTAATTGAAAATTTCTTTCTTTCTTTGAAAAATCTTTGAGACAACGAATATTTCTTAGATATTTGAACACTTTTTCTGCCTTCTGCACCTCTTCAAATCGCGACAGTGATTCGACTTGTGCTCTAACATCTGTATAATTTTGCTCACTTCAACGTTAAATACTGGAAAATGAGCTCAACTAAAGGGAGAGACGATTTAGTATTATCATAAAGATAGATATCTCGCAAATTACTTACAAAATACCATGTTTTTGGCACAAGTTTTATCTGATTTTCCACTCTGTGATTCGCCACATTTGTGAGCAACTTGACATCAGTGAAAATTAAAAGCTTTTCATTTGCTGTAATGACTCTCAAACGTGTGGTCATTTTTACCTCATTGGCGGCTCTGCTCTTTGGCTCAGCCGCAACACTGGTAAGTATAAATCAAGAGTGTGCATCAATTGCGCTGATGTCTGTAGATAATTTCCCTTTGCAGTCGCTGTACGATTTGGTGGTCAAGAGAATTCAGTGCACGGAACTCATTGAGAACTACATTGATAATTCTTGCACGGTGAATTTGAAAAATCGCTCAACGACGTACATTCAGATAAACGTGACTCCGCACTACGATTTGGTGGATCCCATAATCAGGATAACATTCTATAAGCGCTTTGTTGTGTACCGGAAATTCCTCATCGATGTCAGGGAGGATTTTTGTGGGCTCATCAAGGAGGGAAAACCGGCGCCAGTCATCAGTATAATATGGAAAACGCTGAACAAGGGCTCTAATCTGGCTGAGGGTTGTCCAATGGTCAAAGTAAAGCTGCTTCACTTGAATATTCCGATGTATTTATGGCTAAATGATGCCTATTTTCCACAGGATACGCTCTACTACGTCAAAGACTACGTCTTTGATGTGTCTCACTTCCCTCCGGGCTTGCCAACAGGTGACTATCGCATTGATATTGAGATGAATAACAGTGCGGATGGGAAGGACTTCATAAAGATTGAAATTTTCATCGTGCTGACCCGAAAGCCAGCCTCAGACATTGAGTGGAGCTAAAAGGGAAGCGACGAGGGCTGCTCAAGTGAGGAATATCAAAGAATATCCAGAAATGGATGCAAATAAAAATGAAAATCCTTTGGAATACGCAGAATGTGTGATGGAAAATTAAAGCATTTACATCGCTCTTATTTATTAATCGCTCACAAGAACGTGCTTTTGTGAGCGAATTAATTTCTTCTGCTTCTCAAATCACATTTTGCGGGATTTGTGATGAATAATTATTTATTGGAAGACGTTTAAACTACCTCAAATTACCGAATTGGTTTAATTGTAGTATGAAAAAAAGTGTAAAACAGGAAAATATGTGAAAAAAGACATGCCGCGAGCTGGATTTGAACTCATGAACGCAAATGTGCGAAGGAAAAGGACGCAAAAATGCAATATTAGCAGCTTTTCAAACGAGTATTGTGGAAAAATACATTCTGGGCTTGAAAAAGGAGTTCTTAAGAGAGGTTTCGAGCCCAAGAATTGACATTAAAACGTTAAAAAGAATGTTAAAGTCATAAATTTTCTCTCACTCTGAGAAAAAAGCAATTCTGAGTGCCAGAAAAGAGTTTTGCGCGAAGATTGAGGGAAAAATGCTGATAAAAAGCGATAAAGTGAAGGAAAATACACGAAAAAGAGTGGTGAAAAGAATAAAACTGCAGGAGAATCGAACCCGCGATTTCACGATCTTGTGATAACTTCTTGTGTAAGTTTTTCTGTCTAAGACGCTTACGAAAACACAAGTTCGAATTAGTAATGGGAGGGAGTATTTCAGGAATGGATTATGGAATGAACTATTAGGAAATTGAAAGAATTGAAACCACTTTTTCCCCAAATTGAACAACCCTCGAGAAGAGAGGAATTATTGTAATATTTACCAATGGGCCGAAAAGCATAAAGTGTGCACTTTTCTTTGTAGTTTGAAGCAAGGGGAATTTATGAGCACTCGAGGGGAATTTGGCCATAGTTTGGGTGCTTAATGAAAGCACGAGAGGAAGCTCGGCAGACAAACTTCCAAATTAGAGAAATGTGCTTCGCACATTTTGTTGCGCTTCACTGTGTCTCATTGTTGCAGCATTGCATTCATTTAATGTGCACAAATCCCCTTGCTGTCTGCAAATAAGTCGGGGCAGCACTCTGCCATGGAGTGGAGGATGTTATGTTGGCTTTTTGCCTGGGAGAAGGGCGAGAGAGAGAGAGAGAGAGAGTGAATAAAATGCAGAATTTCCCGTGCTATTCATGGCGAATGCACATGATTGTATTCAAGAGATTTATCTTGTCATTCAACCCCATTCAATTTTTTTCTCTCCCTTCTCCAAACATGCTCTTGACAAAGCCCAGTTTTTCCATGGTTTCCATTGTCTAACACACATTGCGACAGTGATTCTGGGCTGTCTTGCCAGTTGATGCACAAAACACAAGTTGGATGGTAATTAAAAATTGATTTAACGAGCCAAAGATGTTAATAAACTTAACAAAGACCTCGTGGCAACTTTCAGTTGCCATGTGGTGATTTTGCTAAAAGGCGCTGCAAGATTGCGATTAGTATATTATACGAATGCGGTGAATTTATCTTCTGCGAAGCCTGAAATGTTTCAAAATCACGTGAAAATTAAGGAAACAGACAATAATGATGATTTTATGTAAATAATCACATGTTTATTGGATTTTTCTGACCATTTGTGTACATTTCCGGACGTCATTTCGACGTTTTCCATGGAGAATAATTAGTTTCCCAACACATTTTCGAGTACATGAAGAGCTATATATTTATTCTATTTAATAAAGATATCTTCCTGGACATTCTGACTAGCAGAATCCTTCAAGAATCCTATTGGAAACACGCCCAATGTCCAGGACAGTCGTGGATGAAGGTGTTTTGTCACTGAGATTCACTATTTTCTCCTGTTGAACACATTCTTTGCGTTGAAAACATTCAAATGGGGGGAAGTTGGAATATTCCGCCCTTAAAATACCCTCAAAGAGAAAATCTCGCAATAAAATGACTTTCTGACAGCTTAAATTCGTATTAAATAAACTCTGTCTTTGCCTTGCAACGCCTTCTCGTTCGTATTTCATTTGTAGTTTACACTAGCGCCGCCGAACGGCCGCAAATATAAGCTATGAAGACGTAAAGTTGCAACGAGGCGAAAAGCTGAGCAAGTTTATGAATATCATTTAAAATATATTGCCTGAAATGCCACGATGGTGATTGTTTCATGGAAGAAACTTTTCTTCCACCCCCTTTTTGAAAATTCAATAAATTCACTTGGTTTCACTGTCTTGTCGCCACCCAGAAAAGCTCCTTTCGCTGCGCGCCTTTTGGGGGGAGAAGGAAATGATGAATGAAACATTTTGCTCAGCATGAAATATGTTTAGAGATTTGCTTATTCTGTGAACATAGAGGAAAATGTGCTGATGGAAGGGAAAATCAAATTTTGAGACCGAACGGGGTGGAAATTTAATAATGATTTTCACTATATATTTGAACTGTCGAAAGCAAATTTTCATTAAGCGCCGCCTCAACTCTCATCTGCCTTTCCAATTAATCGAGAAACATAAAAATCAATTATCTGTATTTTTCCTCTGATCCTTCGTGTAGGATTAAGTGAATGGGATTACTTGAGAATTAAATGGCTTTCTTCTGCACTGAACAACACACAGCTTTCGTCCTTCGTCACTGAAATCCCCGCCACTTATCCAGCCGAGAGGCGGCTTCGCCCTGAAGGATAATAAAAGTCCCAATAATTGCCAATAGAAGACCCAGAAGAAAAGGAGGAACAGACAATGGAAAATGTATGTGTCAATAATTCCCTATTGGCATAAATGTATAAATAAATGCTTTATCGGAAATTCAATAGGATGAAAATAATGTAATTAAATGCGGAAGGAAGAGAAAGATAAGTAACTTTCGCTATAAATTGATTTGCTGAACTGATGCTTGAGTTGAGAGAGAGAAAGAGACTTTCACGTATTGCCAATTGACTAGATAACAATTTCCCTTTTATCCTGTCGCTTTTTGCTGAGTTTTGAGCGCTTAAAAAAAAACTTTTCAGACAGAATTCACAGGCGAGATAGAAAATTTCCATGAAAGGAACTTTATATTGAAGAGTGTCCTTCGTGGACAAAGGAATTCCCATCAGTTGGTGTTCCATTGAGTTTACAAAGAGGTGAATTTCAATTAAAATCTCCCTTTTTGCACAATTTTATTAAAGCCTCTTTCTCGCTTTCCTCCTCATCGTTCGACATTGAAGTCCATTTCCGATATCCTTTCCATTGTCAACTTTATGCGATGCTGCGGAGGATTTAATTCCGACTGCACGAATGCCGACGAGTTTGGATAGTGAGTCAGGAAGAGGGGAAATATTATCCAAACACAGGGTGATTCTATCCAGTTTCACTCATGCGCAGATGATTGAGAAAATTGGCGGGAAATTCTTTTCCTTCTTCCACGCATTCGACTGAAGTTTGCCACAAGATTCTCTTCCCTTTGAATTGAACTGGAAAATAAGCCGAAAAATAACCGAAAAATGCATAAAAACGCCGTTTAAACAAATACATAAAATATTTAATAATTAATTATTTTTTTCTCTACATTTTGATACAAATTCTACTATAGTTTAAGTCAATAGAAAATAGTTTTAGTTCCATTTATGTCTCAATACAGTCAAGTTTTTGAAGATTGAGTGTTGTCTGATTTTGTGAATATCTATTGAAAAGAAAAAGGAGCGAATTGATGATGAAAAGCTTTTGCATTTTTCAGCAAAAAAACCTTTGATTTATCATTTTGGAAAAAAACAGTACAATTACTTATGGGATTATCTTGTGTGAGAGTTTTAAGCATTATTTTTCTTTTGCCTCAAAAAAGAAATCACATAATTTATGTCTTAAATTGGTTCTCAGAGAAACGCTGAAGAGGAGGAACAATTAAAAAAAACCTTAATTAATCTGTGCAAATCTCTATGGAGACTGAAGAATTCATTGTGCTTGACAAAATGCTCTGGAGCAGCAAATGTTTTGAGCATCAGATTTTACAGGAGGAAAAAGAACTATTCTTCCTTCGCTACTTTATGACTATTTGAAGCAATTATTTGGGCTTTACTGTTATTAGTCCGTCTGGAGACTGTATAAAAAGATGCTTTCTTTTTCATCTTGTTAAAGCTTCCATTCATGTTTTTTTTGGGGGCAAATTGTAGTTACAAGTTTTGGGGAAATTACACGAGACAGTTTTCCTGTTTGTCTTCTCACACACAAAAGAACTACCAAGATTTATGGAGAGAGAGAAAGAGAGAGAGAGAATGTTCTTCCTTTCTCTCCTTTACACAATGCTTTTGTATCCAATAAAGTTACAATCTCTGGCAAAATGATAAAACATGAGCTTTCAATTTACAAAAATGCTACATACTAATAATGTTTTATGTACAAATTAAAATAATTTTGCGCAATATCGGTAAAATCTCACAATTTTTCTCTTGGGAAAACAATACTTTTTTTTTCTTTTTAAATATATTTATGAGGACAACAAATTGACAACAACTTTTTTTTTTTTAATATTAATTTCTTTTGAAACATCACGAAAAAGGGCCGCGTTTTTTGCTCCCTTGAGAGCTTTTCTCGCTCTTTCCGGGGGGGTGGCGGAGAAAGCAGGCAGAAAAGCTCTGCCTGAGCATTCGATGCACTATATTCCGGAAGCTGCTTCCACACTTCAGCCTCAGGATTCGCCGTGGGGAAACGACTTCTTGCCCTTGAGAAGGTACACTTCCATGTTGTCCTTCCCCTTCACGTACACACTGCCGCGCGGCTCGAAGTCGTACGCCGCCTCCAGGTGGGGCAGGCACTCCTTGCCCACCTGGATCCTGCCCGCCACGCCCGTGGAGTCCATGCGACTGGCCACGTTCACGGCGTCACCCCAGATGTCGTAGTACAGCTTGCTGGTGCCGATCACGCCGGCCGTCACGTCGCCAATGTTGAAACCGATGCGCAGGATGAGGTTGAACTCCAGCAGGTCCTTGTTGAAGGCATCCACGACGCCCTGCATGGCACAGGAGAACTCAATCAGCGCATGCAGGTGCTGCTGATTGTCACCACGCGTGGACGGATCCAGTCCGCTGGCCGCCATGAAGGTGCTGCCGATGGACTTGATCTTCTCCACGCACTGGAACTCCGGGCGCGACAGGAGCTCATCGAAGTCCCCAATCAGCTCGTTCAGCACGCGCAGATACTCCTTCCCGCCCAGATACGACTCGTCGTACATCTCGTTGAAGTTCACGATGCTGGCGAAGATGATGCCGACATCGTGGTAGTTCTCAGAATACTTGGCCGTGTTCTTCAGCTGCTCCGCCACGTGCTTGGGAATGATGTTGTGGAGCAGCATGTCGGCCTGATTCTTCATGTGCTGCACGCGGATCTTGTCCTGATTCGCCACGGCGCTGCCGTAGAACGTCAGCCGGTAGCCGATCTCGTACTCGCGATTGAGGAAGCACACCAAGAAGAGCAGGAGAATGAGATCGATGTAGATCTCGATTTGGTAGAATGTCAGGAGGCGGATCTCCTCGTGAAGGTAATTCGCTGACGGATTGGTGACGTTGAGAACGTGCGTGCCGAAGGGAATCTCTTGGCTCTGGAGCTGCACGAACGCGTGCCACTGGTAGATGGTGATCCCGATGAATGCCACCGCCGCCAGGAGAGCCAGAGAGTTCCGCAGCCAGCAATTGAGCTGGGTGAAGTTGCAGTAGTGGATGACGCAGATGAAGAGCAGCAGGCCGTAGTGGAACTCGTAGGGCGTGAGAGTGTCCACGTCGAGAGTGGTGAGATTGAGGAAGATTGAGATGACAGGAAGAGACATGAGGATTGAGCCGCAAATGTGCCAAGGATACCAATTGGACACGGAATCGAAGAGCCTGTCGATGCAGGAATCCGACTTGGTGTGTCCTCTGGACAGCCTGATCATCTGCTTGGAGCAAATGAAGACTGCCAGGAACTGGATGCCACAGAAGACGGCGAACAGCGCCACCCACACTTGGTAGCCGATGCTCATGGTGATTGGCACGAGCAGGAAGAGCGACAGGGAGATGGTGAGGAAGATGAACACACTCACCAGCAAGTCTATGTAGGTGTTGTAGCGCGGCGTGGCCAGAGTGGGCGGACCTTCGCCCTGGTTCTCCTGCCCAAAGCGATGCGCCTTGCTGCGGAACTCCCTCTCCATCTGCCAGGATCTGAAGAAGAGCGTCACATTGGACACTGGCGGCTTCACCAGGTAGCTCCTCTGTGACTTGGCGTTCTCCTTCACGCAGCGGATCAGCTGCAGATCCGACTGCTTCCGCAGCTGCTGCAGACACGCCGCCAGGGGATCGACATAGGGCGCGTCGTTGACGACGTTCGGCGTCTCGGCGAGGCTGGACTGCGAGCTGGTGAAGTATCCGGACACGCGCTGCGCAGACGCTCCCAGGGCGGGCTGCACGCCGTTCACGTGGTGGATGCTGGAGCGCCGGGAGTTGCTCTTGATGCCAGAGTCCTTGCGGCTGTGCGCCGAAGGACACATGCTGAGCACCTCGATCCACGGGCTTGAGCAGTTCCTCTGCTGCAGACTCACCGCGATGGGCGCCATCGTGGAGCTCCGCGAGCGCCCGGCCGGCGTGACCTCGCCGCCGGCGGCCTGTGGCGATCTCCCGCACTGCGATCTGTAGCTGCCGGAGCGGCCGAAGGGCGAGATGTCGCTGCGTGAGTGCGAGATGTAGGAGCGCACGTCGATGATGTCGTCGAACATGGAGCACTGGCTGGGGGAGCAGTTGGTGGGGCCCCGCGGCAGCTCCAGCGTGTTCATGGCGGGCGCCGGCGTCTCCACCACCACGGGCACCTGCTGGTAGCCGTTCTGGTCGGCGCAGAGCGGCGGGTCGGCCTTCTTGGCGCTATCACAGTCGGGCGGGAAGTCGTCAGTCTTCCTGAGGAAGCGCGGCACTCGCCAGCCGCGCAGCTTGGCCGAGTACTTGCGCTCGTCAGTCTTGCGGTGGGAGCCGCGGCAGCAGGAGTCTTCCTGGTCGGAGTCCAGGCTGCCCGGCAGCGACTTGGTCGTGACAATGATGGTGGGCGCCGCGGCCTCGCCGGCGCGCTGGCTGCTCAGCCGGTTGGACACGTCGATGGGTGCGTGATTGGCGCCCGTGAGGTACTTGGTCACGCGACTCAGGGAGGCCAGCCTGGGGCGCGTGGACAGAATGGGACTGGGCGTCAGCGAGGTGGATGTCACCCCGATGGGCGAGGCTGGTGGCACTGTGGGCTGGATTGAGGACAAGTTGGTGACGCTGCGCGACAGCTGAACCCCATTAGTGAAGCCATCAAACTGCGGAATCAGCAGCTGACACGCACCCGCCTTGGAGACGTCCACTTCGCTCCGGCTGGCGTCCATGGAGATGCACTTCTTGCCCACCACGAAGTACGTGCGATGACCTGGAAAGAGCGCCAGAGAGAGTCACGCAATTCACTGAGGACGCGCGCGCCTCACACTCACCGAACACCTCGTCGCCCTCCTTGAGAATGTAGCCGTCGCCCAGGAATTTCCGCGTCTCCTCGGAAATGTGCACTTGCTCAGGCGTTCCAGTCGACTCCATCCTGCCGAGTATGAGGAAATTGTTATGCAAATTCCATGGTCAGACTCGCTGAATGCAGAGTTTTGTCTCCACAACTATTTATATCCACTTATTGTGGGAATTTTTGCTGCAAATATGAGAGAGAGAGAGAGAGACACTCACCGGTTGGCCAAGGTGACATCATTGCTCCACACATCGAACTTCACCCTCCTGGTGCCGACGATGCCACAGAGCACGGATCCCGTGTGCACGCCCACTCTCATCTTCACGCCCTCGTTCTTCTGCGCGTCGAAAATCCTCACCGCCTGGATCATGCCCAGGCCCATCTCCACGCAGCACATCGCGTGATCTGCCCGCGGTTCCGGACATCCGGACACGCAGTAGTAGCAGTCGCCCAGCGTGGAGATCTTCTCGCAGCCGTTGAGCATGCAGAGCTCGTCGAAGCGCTCAAAGAGATCATTGAGAATCTCCACCAGCTGCTCGGCAGTCTTCGTGGTGGACATCTTGGTGAAGCCCACGATGTCGGCAAACAGGATGCTCACGTTGTCCATGGAGTGCATGTGGAAGGGCCTGAACAGCGACTTGACGTCGTTCGAGAGGCGCGGATGGAGTGAATAGGAGCGCTTCGGATCCTGCCCAGACTCCATCGTGGAGCCTTCCTTCATGAGCATGTCCGCCACCTTGGGCGGCATCACGGAATGGATCATCTTCTCCTTCAGCTGCTTCTCCATCTCCAGCTGGCGCCGGATGAGGAGGTTCTGGCCCACCTTCATGAATGTGCAGCGCATCCGCACCACGTTCATCACCAGCACATGCAGACCCACCATGTGCACGCACAGGTGCAGGAGGCAGCGCACCACAATCACGCGATAGGGCGTGCTGGAGTCGTCCTCCTGCGAGTCGCCGGCGTAGTAGAAGTTCTGGAAGATGAAGTGTAGCGCCTCGAAGAGGAGCGAGTAGAGCACGGAGATGGAGACGCACTGCCACAGCGGCAGCGGCATGAGCGTGTAGATCAGCAGGATGACCTCGATGCAGGTGGCGAAGTGTCCCAGGGCGGAGAAGCTCCTCCCGGACAGACTGACGAAGAGCAGCGACAGCAGACAGATGCTGCAGGCCACGCACAGCGTCACCGCGTGGGCTCTGTGCTCGTAGAACTTGGAGTACGTGAGCCAGACGGTGACCAGGCACAGCACAATGCACAGTCCGAAGGCTGCGAGCGGGGGAAAATCCTCTTAGTTTATCGCGGCGGGAAGGAGAGAAACCCAGTCTTACCTATTGATACGAGGGAATTCAGCTTTGCGACAGTCAGAAAGTAAATCATCCAGACCACTGAGCAGAGGAGGATGTACAGGAGGGCGAATCTGAAAGGATTCCAATGAGAGAGCGTGGATTATATCGGAATTCCACTCCTTCGGCGCGCGTGGGCGGCGAGGACTGTTGGCGTGGGGAGTGACGCGCATATTAGATAATCTTCATGGGAAATGCCAGGCATCTCTCTGGTCCTCTCCAAATCAAACACGCTGACGGGCTTGATTGACTCCCCGTCGCAGAAATATTGAAAACTTTCGGCGTGTCTCAGGCTGCTGAACATGATTTATATCATGATTCGGGTTGAGTTTCCGCTTGAGTGCGTTGCAAGAAAACAACGCAGTTTTCCAGCGTGTCGCAGGAAGAGTTTCCCATTGAAAAGCCTCGCAAGTGGAGAGCTTAAGAAATTAGCAAGGAGGAGATAATATTGCTTAAATCTGTCTCTTGTGCAGAATTTTATCAAACACCGCAAAAAGTAGTAGAAATTTCATGAATACAGTAGCGAAAATTAGCTTAGGACACCTATGAAATTTAGACCAATCTTCCTTTTCTTATTATAATGTCCAGAAAATCAGTGTAAACGCAATTAGAACCAATTTCTTACCATGCATCAACAATAAATTACTGATTTTACTTTATAAAAAATCTGTGAACAGGATTTGGGCCGCAGTTATGCGGAAGAAATGGTACAAAAGCGTTAAACGGTAGCTAAAAACACACAAAAAGCAATGTAACAAGTCCAATTCAATGCGCTTTATAATGTAAATGTCATCTAGGCATTCCAAACCCATGATTTAATGTGGATTTAGAGCAAAATAGGCAGTGTCCTAACTTAATTTTCGCTGCTGTATACGCAGCTTTTTCTGCATTTTTCAATATCTCAGCATAGAATTGAGATATCGCCATGATCTCAATGCCATTTGACAGATTATTAAATTCTAATTATTTCATGTCTGAATCAAATTGTCTCGAAAATTGAAGGAAATATCGAATTTTTAGCACCAAAAGGAAAATTGGCCTAAATTCAAGCACGATATTTTATACTTGTTAAGAGGCCATAAATTGTCTTAAAACCAGACGCATAAATAGATTAAGAAGCCTCTTGGCTTTCAATTGCGCCTGCCATCAAGTAAATCCTGGAAGCCATCCAAGGATACAATCAACGCAGAGACATCGTCAATTCCTTGTCCATAAACTCTCACAAGGACCTCAAACAATCTTCGGAAGGGCATCTTGTGCTCAGCAAATCTCACAAATCCATCGCAAATTGACTTAATCCATCTCGATGGAGGATATCCGCAAAATGTCGTGCGCTGGACTTTTATAGTTCGCCTCATAATTTATCAATCAACGTAATGAAGCGACTATTAAACGCCGCGTGCAGTTAAAATACGCGGAAGAGAGGCTGTAAAGTGCCCTGAAGTGTCGCTTGAAAACATGCGAATTCAATGATTCATCAAAAGGAATTGGATTTTTGTCGAATTTCAAATTGTCTGCCAGGCTTTTGGCGCGGAGAGAAAAATGCGCGCCTATTTGACTTTCAAATGGAACAATTTGCATGGCTAAAGTTCCTTTTTCTTCTCTCTCTCGAGTGCGCGTCTCAATGTTCTTCAGGGAATTTGATGTTGTATAGGAAATTCCGATACGCATTGTTTGAGGGATTTTCTCCCCGCGAGCGACGCGACTTCAAGGGTGAAAATTTCTGATAAATGTCTTTTTATGCATTCAATCTGATTTTAATGGTCTTTGGCGTCTGCTCAGAAATAATTAAATTTCAAGAAGATTCCTAATCTCACATCGAACTTCTTGTGTCTCTCTCGAAATAAACTTCGCGCACATCTTCTTCCCATTCACATGAAAATTGGCTCAAGTGTTTAATCTTGACTTTGAGAGAAGACTGAATGCCGCGAGATGATCCTCTTGGCTGAGAGATGTAAATATTCCCAAAACGTGATAATGAGCGTATAATTGTGCAATTATTGCGATGGTGAGAGGAAAAATTGGGCAGGACAAGTGGCGGAGCAAAGTGCTCCTGTTTTTCCACGTGAATCTCTCTCTCTCTGGCTGCGTGTCGATAGAGAATCTCCGGGAAAAGCACAACACGCCACAGTCTGGGTTTATCTTTAGACACATTTTGCGCCCAGAATGATTATGTGAGGGAATCAAGAAAGATTCGATGAGCGGTGAAAACACGCAAAATGCTCCACACGAAACACCCGTTTCTCCATGGGCGCCACAAAATGAAGAAATCACGATTTGGGCTGATCTAGCCATTAGAGAATCCATTCATAATATTAGTGAGCAATAATAGCAATAATCGGGCCAAGAAATCACCCAAAATCCGCGTGTTTACAGAGTTTGAGAGGCACACAAATACACACACAAACAGCGCCAAAGATGAGATTCTTTTGCACTTTTGGACGTGCAAAATAAACAAAAACCACTCGAAACATCGCGAGCAAAACTCCCACAAACACGCGAAAAAGGGACCCCTTTTTTTGCAGCCCCCACGTGATTCGGCAAGAAAAAGGAGGCAAAAACTGTGCGCCCAGGAAATTACTTTTCATCGCAATAATGCGGAGAAAAATTGTGAAAATTACCGAAGCAGATGAAAATCATCCATCTTCGCAACGATGAATACAATCAATATGTTTTCGTGGAATTCATGAGAGCCTATAAATACGGAGAAGAGAATGGAGAGGAAATTATTATTAGAATAAATATTTATTAATAGAACCGGCAAGATTGTGATATTTATAATGTTAGCCGCAAGATTCTGTTCCAGTGATAAAAAAAACGGTCCAAAGACTCGAAGAAGGCGATGTTAAGACAAATAAGTCCGACATTGGGTGACACTTTTTATCACAACTTTCGCGACTTCGGCTTTTTTTTCTGTTGTTGTTGTTGTTTCGACCACAGTCACAGCGATAAGTATAGAGACATCACGACCACAGTGAAGATAATCTCAAATGTTGACAAAAATTGGGGATGAAAATGTTCTTGAACTTTCTCACATTCTGAGAAATACGCTTTCAATGGGACTTTTATCTTGCTGAATTGAAGAAGCGCACAAAGATCTTACAAAATATTGTCTCTGGCCAATAAATTGTGTGTTTTTCGGTGGCTTCTGAACTTCCTCTGTCCACTGTATCGACTCGCCAGACAGTATCGCATGCCCAGCAAGTGGTATCGATGACAGAGTGTCGGGAATTTCTTGGCCCGGCGTTTGTCAAGTCATCTGATAAAGCGCGCCACCCCAAAACGAGGTGAATTGCTCAGACAAGGGTTCAGACAAAGGGGAAAATATTATGCAATATTCCTTTCTACACCTTCAATTTCTCACTTTAATTCCAGAAAACTCCAGGGGCTGCTAATTTAGGGTTTGAGTGCCACAAAATCTTGCAATTGAAGCAATTTATTCGGGAATTTTCAGATTAATTCGATTTTCTTTTCTCATCGCAATTGTTGCTAAACTAAAATCCCTGCTAAAAAAATTTTTCCACACCTGAATTTATCCATTTTCCTATAGAATCCTTTCTAATATTCTCTTTAACACTTTAATTTCCATCCTTGGGCTTTGAATCTGCTCCTAAAAGTTCTTTTTAAGGCCCAAAATGTCATTTTTCACCTTGTTTTTTACTATACTCGTTTAGAAAGCCACTAATATCGCATTTTTGTATCCTTTTCCTTTCCTTTTTCACACATTTGCACACTTTTCGGCTTCCTGGCGTGATCCTGACCAAGAAAGAGAGGAATTTGAGCGCGAAAATAAACCATTTGCACTTAGAGAATATCATCAAAACTCGAATTATAGCCCGAAATATATTGAATATTAACCAAGAAAAGGCTTTTTCAATTGAAATTCAACAATATAACTCTCATTTTTCGCAGGAAAAACATTCTAAGCCCATCATAATCACTAATTTGGGGTAAAAATTGTTGAATTGACACTTAATTCAACTCTTACATTTATATTTATACACATTTCGGTATATTTTACACTGAAATATCAGCGCTTCGTTGGCTTTGTCTGTTTCTTTAAAAGTATCTAATTTAAAAGTATCCGACATTAGCAACACTTTAGAGACGCTTTCAGAAGCTAAAGTGTCAAAAGACACTCAATCTTGAGATTTACGGTGATTTCCTTCATCGTAAATTAGCAATTTTGAGCTAAAGAGTGAATTTAAGCCGATCAGGTGATTCAATATTAGATTTTTTATCATTTTTATGGGAATATCGATGGAAAACTCCACTAATAAAGTTGCAAATTTATTGCCAATTGTATCACTGAATTTTGGTTGGCATAGAAAACTCAATTGTGGGAATCAAATTTCAGAAGAATATCAAAACACAAAAGAACTTCCGAATCAGACACTTTGACTTCCACGTTAAACGCCTCAGTCTAATTCTTGGCTTTCACAAAAAAAAACATACCGAAATCTGAGCCGGAGCTGCGGAAAGACGCTGGACTGGTACTGGCCCTCGAGGATGGCGGAGTCGAACTTGGGGTCCCACCACGCCTTGGGCGCCGCCCTCTCGAAGGCCACGGGCAGCATGACGCTGCAGCAGGAGTGCCGCCTGCCCGTCTGCGCCAGGTAGTGCTGGATGTAGGGCGCCAGGCCGATCTGGATCTCCTCGGCGGAGTTGTGCTGACTGTCGCCCAGCGATGGCATGACTGCGGATCACGGGCAACTGCAAAGAAGGCGGAAAAGGTATGAGATGATGGCATGGCGAGTCTCGGCGTTTGATAAGATTACGGACTCGCTATCAACTCTCTTTCTTTTCCTCGTTTTTGCCATTGATATGGACACCAAGAAGGGTGAGCTAAAAATATCTACACACACACACGCACGCACTATTGGGAAATTGCTCATTTTCGCCGATTTCGTATTTGCCATTCTACTGATTCATCCCATGAACGGCAGAGTCTCAAATTTTACTCACGCCTGAGAGATTGATCGAGTGTGGTTGGGCGAGGGTTAGTAAACTCTCTCTCTCTCCTCATTGAGATGTGGGAGATGAGAGAGAAGAATGCTGGCAAATTTGTAGCCACAGCGTCGTAAAAATCGATGAGGTTTTCACAAATATTTTACGACCGCCCCGAAGATGGGGCACAACAATAAAACACTCAAGATAGTTGTAGCGTAAACCGCATTTGCGTATAAGCATGATTTGCAATGTCACAAAACAGGGGGATGTTCCCAACCACCTGTTAGTGGTTGTCGTCCAAATTCAGCATGACAGATACAATTTGCGTACACCAGACGAACTGTGCGCGTATTTGCGATGGAATAAATTTATGGATTCACCTCAGAAAACAGTCGTGCAAATGTTCCGCTTCATCTGGAGACTCTCGTCGTCGGCTGAGCGCGCGAAATCAGAGGTAAAAAAAACATGTAGATTTGTCGTTGTGAGTCACCAGCGCGATGGAGCAATTAAAATTGAAAAGTTGAACTAACCAAAAACAGTCACATCTCATAACCATTTTCAGAGATGCTAAAGACACCGAGAGCGTATATTTAATAAATGGCGAGATGGAGGAATAAAAAAAAGCCATCCAGCGAAGAGATTTGTGCGGAGAGCGAGAGAGACTGCCAAACGGCAAGTTCATCCAAGGGGGAGAGAATATGGCCAGAAGTGGTGTACAGAGCTGTAGAAGTTTGAGGAAGTGGATTGCTTCTCTCTCAACACTTTGTTTTTCAATTAATTATTCAACTTTCAGAAATTAATTCTTATCAAAATCCTAATTTTGACATATTTTCTAGGTTATGTGACTTATTAAAGACTAAAGAAGAGTTTAAAATAAACATTTTTGCATTGAAGCAACAATATTTTCTTTTATTAGTAAGAATTGCGCATTTTTACTCATTAAAAATCGCAATTCTATAAGTTTTGATAAACATAACCTCAAATTCTCACTTCATAACACCATAATTTGATCCACAAAGATTAAAATTGGGAATTTATATCATAAAGTGCGGTTAAAATCAGAAAATCATCAAAATAAAACCATTTTTGACTGCAAACATGGTTAGAATAAACTGAAAATCATAAATTTCAAATTTTTTACTTGGATTTAGGTTAGATTTCAGTTAGTTATTGGTTGATCCCGTGATGTCTGAAGTCCCTGTGAAGTGTCAAGGATTCTTCAAGACATTTTGTGAAAGTGTGAGGAAATGGTGTACAGATTTCAGCCATACTATCTTCCCCTTGAAGTTCACAGCGTCATCCGATGAAGTTTGGCTTAAGCATACACATTGGCACTGTATGTTCACTAAATACAGACAAGGAGCAAATCAAACATCCCAGCCACCCTCGAGACGCCCAAAAGCCAGGAGTCACTCTCGCAGGGCATAATTAGAACCTGTCTGTGCTTCCCATGCAAATGTCCGCGGATTCGGCGGAGGAGAGAGAAAAAAAAACTGCATGTGGACGTAAGAATTCGCGCTTGTTAGCTTGATGATCAGCATGAATTGTCGCTTTACTCTTTTCGCCCAGCAATTGCGGATGAGCCAATTAATTTTTGGGTTTATTCCTCTTAATTCAATTCGCATTGTTTAACCCTCTTCAATTGAGCGCCGAGGAGGCAAATTAAGATGCCTCCGACAAACTATTTTGAGGGACTTTGACCGCTTTCCCTCCGTCGCTATTCAGCCCAAAATTGATAAATGGAAATTTAATGAGTTGAGCAATTACGACACTGAGAAGAGCAAATATGGAGAGCTGAAGATTTAAAAAAAGTTGCAGATAAAACCCTCTGAAGGCTGCACTTAAGCTCTCTTCAAAGTCTCTCAATTACCGAGAACTAGAATTGAGCTCAACAAAGGTATGAAATCTCTGCTCAAGCACAAGTTCACAATGCATTATTTCATCCCAGTTTCATCCCACAGAGTATTAACTTTCCACAAAGGAGCAAAAGGAGTCGGTTTTTCCAAGGGGAAAGTCACTCGCAAGTTGAGGCCATTAAATTTATGATTATTCACTCATTTTTTTAATGATTATTTGTGATTATTACTCAAATTCTAGTTATTTCATACAAAATTCGGATTATTTTTTAATTATCTTTTGAATATTTGATAAAAAATTGATTATTTCATACAAATTCTGATTATTTTTGATTTTTTCTAAAAATTTAATCAAAATTCGAATATAATTGTGAATATTCGGAATATTCTGATTCATTGAATGGAAACAATAATTTTTTTAATTATTCAATTCAGAATTTGATTGTTTTAATTTTTTTTTGTTAATTTACTTGAAAAAAATAATTTTTTTTTGATTATTAAATTCAGAATTTTATAATTTTGGGTTTTTTTTTGTAATTTCACTCGGGAAAAAATCAGTTTTTTTATTATTCTATTCAGAATTTAAATAATTCTTTAAATTTCACTTGGGAAAATAATCATTTTTTGATTATTTTACTCAAATAAATGGTTATTTTATTAGAGAACATTGAGTTTCCTCAAAAATCGTCTTGTTATTTGTCCCTTGATTTTTTCCTTCTTCTCCGGCATGAAATATTTATTACACCCACTCTTTTTCTGTATTATTTCGTCACAATTTCTTTCAGCACTCTTCTATTTTCGCCCCAAATTTTGACACCAATACACACTTCTTATGCGCTCCCTTAACCTTTCAACAGCCAGGCAGTTTAGGGCATCCCACAGGCTGACGTCAGCAGCAAATGTGGTCCTTTATGTCGTCCTGACGACAGTGGTCAAAAACGGTTAGCAGTGTGACAATCCCATTGGCATGACAGGAGTTGATTGTCCGAATAATTGGATGCAACAACAGCTGAAGGGTGTTTTCGCCAAGTTCTCCAGCGGTAGAAAATTAATCATTTCACCGAGTGAATTCACACGAGAGGCCAATTGAGGACACGGCGATGCTCCCAGCAGATTTGTCAGCATGACAGACAGCTCAAAAGCACTCCCCTGGAATTTCCATGGCGATTCATTAGCAAATGAAAGCCGAGCTACATCCCACTTTGCCCTCATGCAAGCTCACAGGCTGCCGAGGAGGCTTTCCTTACATCCTTTTTATATTTTTACTGTGTGGTTAGACATTTAAATTTATGGTCGCACTATCGCCTCGGGGCGGAAGTGTGTGTGCGGATGTGGGGAAAAAATGTTTCTGCGAAAACATGTCATAGAGAACAAGTTGTCAAGAGATTCCACATTTCGGGTGGCGCGTGGAGGAGACCAAGAAAAAGAGACGTGAAAACTTTCTCGAGGGTGTTTCGAGAGGGGGGGTTTTTCCCTGAGAAAAACTAACAGAGAGAGAGAGAGAGGGAAAGTGTGGGTGAAAGGATCTCTTTCAATCGATAGTCTGTCGCCGGTACAAATTGTGGATGAAAGAAACTCCTTCTCCCTCTCCCTTTCTCTCTTATCCTGGAGAATGGGCAAAAGGATAGATAATTTAGAGTGGAATTCAATTTGTTACATTTGTTTTCCCACTCATATTTTGCCCTCTCCGCACAAGTCCACTGTTGTGCTTTCTGCAAAAAGCTCTCTCTCTCTCAGTCGCTATTGTGGGAAAATGCTGGGCATTCACTGTGCGCTTAAAGCATGTCCTGGGGAAAAGTAATTTTCCCACACGAGACCCCAATTCAACGGTCCAGTGAATATTTCATTATTTATTGTTCTACCCCAGTGAATAGGTACAAACTTTTTAATTAATGCGTGTGTAGTTCAATTAGCACCTATTTCATTATTGACTGCGCCAATCATATTGACAAAAGTCGCCAATTCATCGCATCACTCCACACAACATGGCAAATAAAATCTCCTCCAATTTATCGTGCAGAAAATATGTGAAAATACTTGCAAAAATGGGCAAAAATCCAGCCATTTTAGACTTAGAGTGATTACAGACTCGCTGGTGATCCACGAGAGTTGGTTGAGCCACAAAACACGACTGATCCATTGATATATCGAAGGTTCAAACGATATTTATGGGATTCTCGACGGCAGCGCGCTCATTTGACAGATCAAAACGGATAAAATGGCGGATCTCTTGCGAATAAGATCTCAAAAGCTTTAAATTCTTCCGTAAATCTTCCATTTTCGTAATTTTATCGTAAAATTTCACGCTTTTCGGTAAAATAAACAAATCAATTGACAGCTGAGAAAGGAGCACGAAGCAAAGTTGTCGCTAGTGTCGACAAAGAAGAATAACTCCTGAGTGTGAACAGCGCCAGTTCAGCCACGAATTATGTCTGATCCATATTTGAGTGTGTAAAGGTGCAGATCAACCACAACTTATCGCTGATTCGATCTTTACACACTCCAAGCTTATCCACGGAGGATTGATCACAATTCACGCCGATTTGAGGGTAATCTGCAAGTCTGTAATCGCTCTTAGATTGAGTGTCCTTTTACAAAGCGCCATTAGTATGGAAGATCCATCGTAAAATAGTGCTTTCGTCCATTTGACAACTTTGGCGTGTTCTAGAGAGTTGTAGGCTGTGAAATTATCTTTCTAAATCTGTGCCACTTTTGTCAATCGAGCTGTAACTTTGAGAAATATGTGGGGAATGATGTATAGGTTAATAATTATAAGTGGCGTTGTGGGCGACGTTCAGCTGAACTTTCGCAATCCAGACGGGTCATGAGGTCACGCGGGAATGCCTCAATCGGGGTGACAGCGGGTCACTAATGTTGTGAGTGAAATTGCGATGGTAATCAATACAC